GGGGGTTTGAGGAGTGATTAGTTAAGAGTATAACCTACAGTAGTGGGGAACACAGTTATATTGTATTTTGATTTGTGTATTATCAGTCAGTCAGTCAGAGTCTGGAATCAGAGGGAGAAAAATAGTTTGGGGGGTTTGAGGAGTGATTAGTTAAGAGTGTAACCTACAGTGGTGGGGAACACAGTTATATATTGATGATAGATTAATCTTGAATAATGTACTTCTGAATTCTTCTATGTTTTAGATAAATAAAAACTAAAAAAAGAGTGTAACCTGTGATAGAGTAGGTTAATATTGATGATTGATGAATCTTGAAGAATGTGCTTATGAATTATTCCACAAACCATCTGTAATTAATGAACTTGTTCTGTTAAGACGTCAGTACTGGATGGACCTTCATCTTTTCTAAGTAAACTAAGTTGATAAAAGAGATCAACTGGTGGCAGCGTATCAGAGGGCGTGCTGAGGTACCTTGTGAGCTCTGTGTCTGGGTAAACAAGCAGGGGCCACGAGGGCAAATGCCACACCATCTAAAAAATTTTTTTGCTAAAAAATAATCTTTTGCAGAATTGTTGGTGACACTCTGTGAAAGGGACCTTGGGAGAGCTGACAACTCCCAGGCACCTGGAAAACATGGGGGAAGGAAAGCTGGTGTTCAGTGAAAAACCTCCTGATAGGAGGTGCCTGAGGAAGATAAAAGGGGGATTCAGGAACAATGGGAACCAATGCAGAAACCTCAGGTGAGAAGAAGACCTGAGGGCAAGCTGTGGAAGAGTGGGACCACCTGTGTTGTGCCACCAGGGATGGGGAGTATGGTTGGGAGAGGGATCCCTAGCAGGAACACCCCCCCAAAGAACTCCCACTTGTGAGGAGAAGATACCACCAAAGAGGGGATCCCATTTGCCCTGCTCCAGAAAGATCAATACCTCCTACAACATCCTGGTGCTCACACTGACTGACTAGAGCAGCATCGCCCACCACACCCCAGCTATGGCACTGGTGGCATAAAGACCAGTGCAAGAGACTGGAGAGACAAACAGCAAGGGAGCCCACCCAGGTGACCATCACCAAGTTGTACCAACAGTCCCTGAAAGGGCTTTGAGAGGCATCTGGATTAACTCTCCCATTATGTTTCTCTGTGCCCAGACTGCAGGAGCTACCAGTGAAGTTAACTGGATCCCCATCAGAAAAGACGCTACCCAGCGGGTTCCTGCAGGGAGATCCTGCAGGGACTCTACAGACAAGATTGAGGGGTGTTTGCTGTTGCTGAATCCAAACTGTCCTCAATAAAATCTGTTTTTACTTCCACTAGCAATCTGGAGCCAATGGAATAATTGCCAGGAAACCTTGCAGCCACTGACACCCCCAGCAAGGCAACCTGCAGTGCACGCAGTTGGAATTTTAATGGTGGATGTATATAACACTGACTAATTTCGGTTTTTGTGGACTTGGATAATATTAGTATGTTGATCAGCTGGTCACATTTGAGGATTTAAAATGGTTTATGTGTGAATATTTTCATTTAAAATTGCCACCTTTTTCATATGGATCCTAAACATTGTGGTTCAGTCTAGTACAAAAGCAGCTGGTTGGTGAATGTGATGGTGCATACACTAACAGAAACAAGTCAAACCACAGAGATGTTTTTCTTTCTATACCGGAAACACCTGCCTGAAAAAGAAAAGAAAAAAAAAACGGTTTGCTCAAACTTTCTATAGAAAAGGGGGGTGGGTGGAATAATCTTCTTCATTTTTTTTAAATTAGAGTGATTCTACCCAGTTAATTTCAGCTTAATTCTCTTCAATGAAACAGTTTGAGGAGACTAGGAGCACTCTTTTCTAGGTCACACATCTAGTTTATTTCTCAGGCATACCAGTCCCTGGGACATTTTTTCAAAGCCCTATCTTGCTTAATTGATTTTCTGAAATACACTATGTGTCCACCGTATTGAGGGATTAAATTGTAGGATGACTTGACAAGATTCCTTGTCACCCTCCCATACCATTGCTCAGAACCACACTGTAACACAGTTAATTCTCCCCTCTCTATTATGCAGGAGTCAGTTCCAGTGAATTCAGAAACACTTATTTCCAAGCAAGCCTGCACAGGATCTTTCTCAAGTCCACACAGTACAAACTTTCTAAAATGCACATTAGATTACCATCAGAATCCCTGTTAAACAATTCTTTAGCTGCCTCATACAGCATAATGCTACACATAATTTGACATGTATGAGACCCATTAAGTTTTAGTATTCCTATGCTGTTAATCACAGGTGCTTTCAGAGAGAGGAAAAATGTTCACATTGTACAGTATATGCTTCTAGCTTTACTCTTCTGTTTGCAAGATTTTAATGGTCTAATAAAGGGTTCATCCCCTTTATTTTCACCTTCTAAAATACAAGAACTCTCACAAGAGGCGAGATAACAATTTCAGAAGAAATTCTATAAAAATAGAAGCCTACTGTAGGGCGAGCAGAAATTGGAGAAGTTATCTTCCAGACTACAGTTCCTAATAACCGGTGCATGGCCACAACCACACTGGCTGGGCAGTATGGTAGACTAGAAAACAAACAGGCTACTGCTTTTCCCACAATCCTCTCTGATTATTTTCATATTTTCTCTGATGTTCAGACAACACTGTTGGTAATCCCATAGAGCAGTAGTTCTTAACCTTTGTTACTCTGATGTTTTTGAACTGCAACTCCCAGAAACCCCAGCCAGCACAGTTGGTGGTGAAGGCTTCTGGGAGTTGCAGTCCAAAACTCCTGAGTAACCCAAGGTTAAGAACCAGTGCCATAACGGACCTAATCTTTTTGCATCAGTATCTGGGACATTTTGTTTAGCTCTTAATGTTCCTTTGCTACTGTTGTGTTTCCTTCCCCATGCCCAATTTTATTTTATTTTATTTTATTTTGGCTTGCAATTGTATTGTGTGAACAATTATTTAATTTCTCCTGGAATATTGCTGGGCACTTCTTGAGAACACATATCAAGAGATAACCAGTGGGATATGGCATCAGAGTGAACACTTTTGCCTGTTCCCACCCCCTGGCTGGCACTAGCACCAAAATAACTATAACTGTTAATCTCTCTCTTTAGCATCTATAGTTTGAGAACCAGTTCAAGTTTGTGGTGAACCATTTCAATACTATCTTGAATGTTATTACATCTTTTAAAATGAGTTTTGGACAACAGTATGAACAAAGTGTAAAGGGGAATGTAAAGGGTATAGGAAAAGTTGGCGATTATGGAAGAGAATGATGGCAAGTAAGGGAGGGGACTCTAGGAGAAATGTTGCTAATATCCACTGTGTAGACAGCTGAAACACAGGTAAAGGTAAAGGTAAAGGTAAAGGTAAAGGTAAAGGTTCCCCTTGACAATTTTTGTTCAGTTGTGTTCGACTCTAGGGGGCAGTGCTTATCCCCATTTCCAAGCCAGAGTTTGTCCAAAGACACTCTTCTGTGGATACATGGCCAGTGCGACTTAGACACGGAATGCTGTTACCTTCCCACCGAGGTGGTCCCTATTTATCTACTTGCATTTGCATGCTTTCGAACCGCTAGGTTGGCGGGAGCTGGGACAAGTGACAGGCGCACACTCCGTTGCGTGGATTCGAACTTACAGCTGCAGATCTACAAATCTTACAGCACAGAGGCTTCTGCGGTTTAACCTGCAGTGCCACCACATCATGGACTATGAATTGTACAATCAGTATGATGTGTGACACAACTCCGGGAGGCGGTGGAAGATAGGAGGGCCTGGCGTGCTCTGGTCCATGGGGTCACGAAGAGTCGGACACGACTAAACGACTGAACAAACAAACAAATGATGTGTGACTATGCAATGCACAGTGCCTGCATCAACATACAGCAATGACCCTCTTTGGTCATGCCCTTAGTATATTAATGAAACACATAAGCTGATGCTTTGTGTGCTTCTTCAGAAACCAGTTCCAATAGATTAGAAGGGACAATTGATAACACTCCAATTCCATTCAAGATGTTTGCAGAGAACAAATAAGAACAAGCTTTGGCACTGAGTATCTAGGAGTCTGGAAGTAAAATATCAAGAAAAAAAAAGAATTGAAAATAAAGAAGACAAAAAATATTGTGGCCCCTTAAAGGCTAACTGCTATACTGTATTTTAATATTACTCCTGTTGATATTCAGTTCCCCTCCTAGGAAACACTATTCTGTAAACAATTACCATGATTGGTGCCTTAATTAATCCCAGGCTATAGATAACTAGCAGGAATAACATGGTAATGAGTATCACTAATCACAGATGGGTCTTACAGGTCATTGCCAGGTGTGAAATACTGCATTATCAACAACTTGTGCCCCAAAACAGTGTGCCCCAAAACAGTCTCTGTTTTGGGGTCCCATACAAATGTATAAATATTTGTCATGTAGTCCCACTTTTATGTCTAAGTGGATTTGCCCACAGAAGCTCACATTAAAATATAGCAGTTAGTGTTTAAGGCCCCACAATGTTTTTGTCGTCTTAATTTTTTCTTTTTCTTTTGTTTTTGCCTGATATGTTAGTACAGACTGACACAGCTACCTCTTCTAAAATTTGAAGTAAAATGTGGACATACCAACATAAAGCTAATAGTTTCAACATGACAGATTTTCTACATTCAAAGAAACATGACATCTGTAAATTAAAAACTTGATTTTAAAGTTAGTACTTGCGCTCGTAATTTCTAGATTAGACTACTGTAACGTGCTCTACGTGGGGCTTCCTTTGAAGTGGTGCAGAATGCGGTGGCCAGATTCCTTACTGGAGTGAGAAAATACCAACATATCTCTCCACTCTGGCCATGCTGCACCGGCTGCCCATCCGTTTCCGCATTGACTTCAAAGTGTTAATGCTTACATATAAAGCCCTAAACGGTTTAGGACCTCGATACTTGGCGGAACGCTTATTCCCAACTAGTTCTACGCGTGTCACTCGCGCGAGCCAGGCGGTGAGGCTGAGGAGCCTGACGCTGAGGAGGCCCGGAAAGAAAGAACTAGAAACCGGGCTTTCTCGGTGGTGGCTCCTCGTCTCTGAAATAACCTGCCTCCGGAGATTCGCGTTGCACCCTCGCTGGGTACCTTTAAGAACCAACTAAAAACATGGATGTATAGGCAGGCCTTCCCTTCCAGTTAATTCCTGTCCTCTTTCCTTTTCCCCCCTCTTTATTTGATTTATTTTTATTTTTCCCATCTTATAGAATCATTTAATTAATTAATTGTTATAATGTTTTTTAGAACTTGTTGTCCTTATGTTGTAAGCCGCCTAGAGTGGTTGAAATGACTAGATAGGTGGGGTATAAATACAATAAATAAATAAAATAAATAAAAATAAATGATTTTATACACGCTCTGAAAAGTTAATATCTAAGATTACAGTCCCAAAGGCTGTAAAGCCAGAGCAGGTAGGATGATGATGTGTGTGGGGGTCTTCTCATGTTTACCTCTGTGTTCAATTTCTGGTTGAGAACTGGGATGTTTTTGTGTCAGCTAAAAAGAATCCCTACCTTAAATACAGTTTAAGGTTCTGGTGCCAGTTATGGGCAATAAACTGGAGTGAGGATAGGGGCAGGGTAAGATTAACATGCACACAAAATGAAAAGCATAGAAATATGCCTTCCCCCTTTTAAAGATTTTTTTGCCATACACTGGATAGCACAGTAGGAACACTGTAAAAGAGTGAGGGTAGACAAATGTAGCTACCACTACCCTGGATTTCTCCAGGCCTGAATTCTGGCTCCTGTGTTAACACTGGTAAACCCTTGAACAGGAGAACTTATCTTTGGGAAGCAAAATTGTTCCGCAGGTCAGCTTGTCAGCAATTTTTACTGTATTTCTTGCAAATTCCTCCTGGTTGTGCTTTAACTCAGGAGGCCTTGGTTCTAAATATACACTCTTTCTATGTTTTCAAATGATAAACCAATTTTTAAAGAGACACCATCCACTGAAGTATTTAAACTGCAACAATATTTGGCCTTCAAACTTGTTGGGAATATTTCTGTCTGCTCCTGAGTGTGTTTATTCTGAGATGGGATTTACTTTCTGCCCACTTTCTTCATTTAGGTTCTCTTTTTTTTTTCATGTTAACTTTCATGTACTGTTACATCCTGTCAGAGTGCTTCCAACTGAGGACAACTCTTGATAGGGTTTTAGAGGTATGAGAGATGTTCAAAGAATGGTTTACCACTGCTACCTCCCAGACAGTTTCTACAATTTGAAACCCAGCCTCCTAAATGCTATGACACTTTGTCCACCACAACACACCAGCTCTTTTATGAATTGCGCAAAAGAAACAAGCTGAAAAGTATTCACGTTTAACTTTCTTTGGCCTCATATTTCACCAGTTTTGAAGAGAACCTAGAAATAAAAAAGCATTCCTGTTGATGGTTGTTGTGGGTTTTTCAGGCTCTTTGGCCGTTTTCTGAAGGTTGTTCTTCCTAACGTTTCGCCAGAGGACAGCACTCCTCTGGCCTGGATTCTGCAGCCGCCTTGGACGCAACCTGGAAGAGCCATGTTTGCATTGGCTGAAGATGCCGGCCACAGAGACTGGCGAACCTTAAACAGCCTTCAGAAAAGGGTAAAAGAGTCCGAAAAACCCACAGCAACCTAGATCCCTGCCGTGAAAGCCTTCACGAATACATTCCTGTTAACCTTTGTGGGTTTGTTTCTGATTCACACGCCTAACGCTTGCAAATGGGAGAATTCCACAGAAAGTTGTTTATGCAGGTAGACGTTCCAACGATATAACTTTAATTAACATGCTCAAAACACACAAAAATGGAGACAGTAAAGGGTTGTTATTTCACCAATGACAATGCCACTTTCCTAGACAAAGCTCGCTTTGCGACGGGTCTTGGATGCCTTTGCGCGGGACACCAGGTCCTTAGACAGTGTCCTTCCCTCCCTTCGTCCTCTGCCCCGTTTTTAAAAACTTGAGGCAAGTGAGGCAAGCGCGGGCCACCAAAAGCGCGCGGGCAGTTGCCGCGGGGACAAGGGGACAGATTTCGCCCGTTGCGGAGATCAGCGGAGGCTTCCGGCCAAACTACAGCGGAGAAGCCGAGCTGTGCGGGTGAAGGGGCCTGAGGAGAAATCTTTAAAACCGGATGATCTGCAACTGTGTTGGCACCGAGTTTACTCTTCCGTAGCTTTTTAAATATTTAAGTTAAACAGCCGGCACGCGGACTCAAACCGGGACCCTGATTCTTGCTTCTGAAGATGTGAGGGTGTACCTATCCTGTTTCAGGACTAGCACTCCCGGAATTCCACAACTACCAGGTCTGGGGAATTGTGGGAGATGTAATCCAGATTCGCAAATAAACAGACCTTTAATCTCTGTTGCCCGGTTTTTACAGCGAATGCGCGGGGGTGGGGACCGTCAAAAAAGCAGCTGCATACTTTCTACCGCTACTGCCTCATCCCCTCCAGCGCCTAAAAAGCGATTTCCTCGCACTTTACCCCCACCCTTTAAATGTAAAATATGTTTAAAAGTCTCGTGACTTTTGGGGATCAGAGGTGCTTTTTGAAAATGGGAGTTGGGTTGCTAGAGGAGTGGCATAGTGAGACCACGCTGCACTGTAGCACTGATATTTTCACGATTGCAAAGGTTTAGCGGAATCCCGAACATCGTCAGGGGAAGTTGGCAACAAAGCAGTGGTGATGTGGATTGCAGAATTTCAGAGTAACCGTATTGTTTCGTTGTGAGTTTCCCTGCATCAAAATCCACTTCCTCAGATACTGGAGTATAAATACGTGATTAGAATACACTGTACATAGCTCCATGACAATGGAAAGAGCCAAAGATAAGTTAAAGTGACAATGGGTCGTTAATACAGGAATTTGATCATCAAACTGTAAATTAGCTCAAACCCTCCGCCCTTTTTGTTATTACACTTAAACAGACTAAAAGGCTCCTCCTTTGGAAATTGCTACTAAAGTGCCAGTATATTCTATGGTTGCAGATGAGCCTTATTTCCGAAAAACGATGCGATTTTGATGAAGCATACTGTTTGTCTCGCAGAACTCGCACTTGATTCACAGTATATATTATAATCACTGGAAGTATATGTAGTCTTTAAAAAAGGCGTGATGGTTTGAAACCATAGTCCTTATGTTTGTAAGAATAAACATTTAGGATTCCAAAATATCATTTTGAAAGGATTTGTGTGGAAGATATCCACGACTGTTTTTTTATGCACTCTTGTCAAACACTGTCCACCACTCCAGGCCATACGCTACAATCCGTTGAAAACTATAAATACATGGGCAAAATATTGTGGGTTCCTCACAGGTAGTCTTATTTTAGCATAATTAAGTCTTGTTTTAGCATACGTACTGTACTTGCTTGTCTTAAACAAAACTCAAAGCCCTCATATAAATTGCTTGCCTCTTTAGACATGGTAGGGAATTTCCTTCCTAACCAGTGCCGTACCTTGCTCCCCAGAGAGCTGTTGGGTATTAAAAATCCCCAATTGGAAAAGAAGATAGTACTGTATCAGCAAGGAAACCCTTTGACGCCTTCTTGCACCTCTAATTTTTCATAGCTCTTTGGCTCTCCGAAGGGCGAGAAATGACCTGGTTTCAGGGCTTGTGTCTGCTGTATTCTGCAGCAGCCCGCCCCCTTGTGGTGTGCAGGGCAATATCACGTGCAAAGACATCGAGGGGGTGATGCCTTTATTAAACCACTAAAAACATTAGCTAACTTCAACCACATACAAATCTTTTTCAGGCCGGGCACCACAAATGGTGTAGAAAAAAAATTAAAACATTCCAAAAACTCATGACCTATTATCTGTGTCCTTACCTGGTTATAGAGGTATGTTTAAATACACTAATTATATTTGCTCTTCTAGGGAAGTACAGTATTAAGATGGCAGATGAGAAGTGTGATCATTTTTAACAAATGGGAAGGTAAGGAGTATAAGGTTTAAATAAGTTAAAATTTTAAAACAGTATGTTAAATACTTACTAGTGCATAAGACCTTTGTGTATGCAGATCTCATAACTAAAATACGTATTTACCAAAAGCTACTACAAAGACTTTCAAAGAAATAGCCATGTTAGTCTGTATAAGCATAGACAAAAATAAAAACATAGAAAACAAAAATGTGGCATCTTAAGACCTGTTATATTTCAATGTGGACGTTTCGTATCATTAGTACGTGGTGCCTCGCATAGCGACGTTAGTGTATTTTAAAATTTTTGTTTTATTTTTATCTGGATATGAAAGTGTAGGGGAGTGTAATTTCAGCAGAAAATTAGCTACAGGATGTTCTTATGATAATAAGCCAAACAGACATACAAAAACGGATGGGGAGTGCCTATTATTCACACTACAGCATTTAATTTAAAACAAAGGAGGAGGGAGGGAACATGTCGGCCCGAGATATTTGGAGGCTGAAACTCCTCTTAGCCCTAGTAGCAAATGACAAATTGTATTATAGGAACTGCAGACCGGCAACATCTAAAGACGCACATTCCTCACTTCCAAATTAAAAGTACCATACATCTTCTTTTCAATCCGTGGCAAGGGGGTTTCCATGAATAAAACGACACCCTGAATAAATGTTAATTTTAACGATCTCAGCAATCGGAATGTTAACGACCGCAGCAATCAAACAATGGAGCCAATCAAGAAGGCGAGATAGTTGAATTATCTGACCCAGGTGGGGACACCGAGACAAAGAACCGTGCCCGCTATTCACTGGCTGGCATTTAATCCCCACTCGGGGTATTTAAGTCTTGGGCCTTGAACCGCTATTCCCGATTCCTGCACCACAGCAGTGGGGCTGCTTCCACCGCCTCTCCCTTAGCCGTTATTGCCGCCACGCGCCTCAGGCAGCCCTCCTCTTCGAACATGAGCAGCAACGGCAACCAGCTCCCCAGGCCCGACGGCATAAACCGCCACTTCTGGGAAATGCTGGCCTTGCTGGCCAAGGAGCCGGCCTTAGCGTGGCTGCAGGAGGTCCTTTCGCAGGGGAGCGCGGCCCAGAAGCAGAGCCCGCAGGCAGAGGCCGCGACGGCCACGGCGGCGACTCCAGCCTCTGCCGCCGCCTTCCCACCCGGCGCAAGGCCTCCTCAAGAAAACCCCGCCGTCTTCCGCGCAGCGAGGGCGGCGCCTCTACCGCGAGGAACGCAGAGCGAGCAGGCCGCGGCGCGCGAGACGACAGAGAACCGCGCGCCGATCGGTAAGGCTGGAGGCTTTAGAAGCCCGCCCTTAGCTGCGTTTTGGGCCATGCGCAAAGGGGCAACGGGTGGAAGGGCGCGCGCGCGGCGGTTTTCAGTTTCCTTGTTAGAAACTTGGGCATGTGCAGGAAGATGACACCGGTTAGCGTTGGGGGCGGGGAGGGAGCGTTGCTCATCCCGGCGCATGCGGGGAAGAGGAAGGTTACTTGGCGCGCGGTTTCTGAGGAGCCTCTTAAAACCGCCGAATAAGGCGGAATACTTTGGCTGTTTCGCGCCGCCTTTTACAGGGCTTGCAGACAGAGTAGAAGGAAACCGCGGTGTTTCCCTCTCTAGCTGTTTTTATTCTGAATATAAAAATAACAGGTTGGTCCGAACAGCCAGACCTTAGCTAAAGAGGTGCGTGACTATGGATAAATCAGATGCGAGGGAGGGGAGAAGTAGTTTATATTTGTATTCGCGAAGGCTTTCACGGCCGGGATTTAATGGTTGTTGTGGGTTTTTCGGGCTCTTGCCACAGAGACTGGCGAAACGTTAGGAAGAACAACCTTCAGAACACGGCCAAAGAGCCCGAAAAACCCACAACAACCAAGTTTATATTTATTTGTCCTCTGTGTGCTTTTTTAAAAATTCTTATCGTGCCACAGTGTTGAGTCGTACGATTCATAAAGTCTCCCCTTTCCCAGGGAATCCTCTTTGCCGGGTCTTTCCCTCACAATCTCCCTCTGTAGTCAGTCTCTGTGACCTCAGTAGAATTTATTCAGAACAAGCCTGTATTGGGTTGCGCTGTATTAACGTTAGAATTATTCTAAAACATCCGCTGGAAATATGACTGCAAAACATAATTTATCGCTAACACTCTACAATTTTCCAGCCAAAATATTTTTTGCTTTTTATGAGAATCGGTAGGCTATCCAGCCTATTTATTAAATATGCCTGGCACATTTGTGGCTCTGGGAGAGCTTGAAATTGATCCTAGCCACTTCTTTAAGCTATACCAGGTTCTGTTCTAAGACTTCCCCTCAGATGTGTGCAGGATATTTGTGGTTGCTGGCAAGAGATCTCAGTATTGATTTAGTATAATTAGTACACTGGTCAGAAGTAAAAAAAACCCCACCAAATTAGTTATGTATAGAGAACAAAGCAAAACACATTCATGTGGTCTTTGATGCCTTTATTGGACTGCTAAAATATTGAAAAGACAGCTTTCAATGTAAATAGGTCTTCCTCAGGCTATGCACCAAAATACTATGGACAATGCATAGTCCCAAAAATTCCTTGCAGTTATCTGTGCCTGGCTGGTTCTCAAAGGTAAAAAAGTGTGCTTGCCAAACAACTTTGAAGCTCCAACCTTGTTAGCCTTTGGTTCGATTTCATCTCCCAACTTTGGATCCCCAGATGTTCTACAACTCCAAGAAATCCTGGCCAGCATAGCTGGGGTGAAGGCTTCATGGAGTTTTAGTTTAAGAACATTTGGGGCACCAAGGCTGGGAACCACAGTAACAACCACTGTCAAATAATTTGCATTTCCCCCCTGTCTTCTATTGAAACTCCAACTTCATATAAATAAATAAATATTTGGCTGGGATAAAGGCAATGCATGTATTTAGCAAGCTCTGTCAGAGAATAAGGAATGAAATTTGGTCTCACTAGGTAAGTCAGATTGTGTTATACTGTACACACCCACACCATGTCATGTTTGTTCATAATGTACTCAGAATAGAAGGGGAGGCTGATACTATTGTTGCACCCCAAGCAGCATACTGAACATGTGCCTGCCCTGAAGACCTGGTGCTTTGTCTTTAGCTTACTGTGGTAGACAGGGACACCAGGGCAACCAGCCAGGAAGTATAATTAGAGATGTTTGCCATGGTAGCTAAAGAAGATGTGCACCCTGGGGCAAAGACACTGAATATGCAAAGAGTGATGCTGGACACAGAGACTCTTTCAGATAGGAAGGCCAGAGAACTGGCACCAGGTGTCTTATTTGTGGCACATCTTCATGTACAGCTGCCCACATGTAAAACTCTGCTCCCACTTCTTGCCTCCCTGCTTGCTCAAACACAGCTAGCTAGTGTTTCTGTGCTTGCTGTGAGGCCAGCTTCTCTACAGCCAGCATAAAAAGGCAGGATACAACCCTTTAGGTTAATAAAAACTTTGGCTTTCCCCCTTAGAGGAAATTCAGTATGGAATTCAGTTGAAAAAAGACAAATTTGCTCATGAATAAGTTTATTGCTCTTTGTTTTGTCTTGGTCCTTTCTTTAAAACCCAGGATTGTAAAAATGCCCACAGTTCTTTTTTCTACAGTGAGCATGGCAATGGAAAATCAATGCCTTGTGCTAAATACCTTCTCCCAAACAGGTTGAGGGAAAAGTAGCGGAAACACTGCTTGGGGTTTCTTGTTGCCTGTGTCTACTAAGCAAGTTGTTAAACAAGATATGTGCATATTGCAGCAGGCACCATCTAGAACAGACATCCTTGCCTGTGTATAAGAAAGGAGGATACTTCCTGTAAGATGGTGCTTGCTTGTCTCCTTCACTTCTTGAAAGTGTCCAAGTCAAAACATTAACAGAGTTAAAGTATTAAATCCACTGATGGATCTATGCAAAGTAGACAAACTGAAATGAGTGGGATTTCAGTTAGGAAAATCCAATTCATGAATAGATTATTTCAGTGGGGCTAAATTAAATCCAGCTCATCTCTTCCCTAACTGTACAACATAATACTGATTTTAGAGAAGGCAACTGTTCATATTGAGGAAAAATATCTACTTGCATGTCATACACCATCTTCATAATGCTGGGTACACGTCAAAATGATGCTGAGATTAAACCACCCAGAAGCATTCTTGTAAAAATGAAGATAGTGCTGAACTTAGCAGCATCACTCTGAGCATTCCACCTTCCTTATATTTTAAGATTTTAAAATCGTATTTGTCCCTTCTTGATTTTTTAATTTTAAAAAACAATGTGCTGAGTAACATGACCAAGAGCACTCATGTGATCTGTTTATTTTTATGCTACTTCTCAAACAGCTGCTCTCAAAATAGCTCTCAAAATACCAAAATAAAATTAATTATGCATCGTGTTATATGCAATTACTGTAAATTGATTCCTACCTAGTATGGTTTCTGATGTATGCTAGATCTTAACCCTTCCTTGGGGTTAAGGGGGAGTGGCCGAGTGGGTAAAAGGAGCAATGAATGCCTCTTTGCAGCATGGTAGGATCCCAGCATGTGTAAAGGAGGCAGTAATAAGGCCATTATTGAAAAATAATGGATCTCAAATATCAGTTTCAGATATTCCATTTCTGGGCAAAGTACTGGAGTGTGTGGTGGTTTCTCTGCTTCATGGAGGAAACAGATTATCCAGACCCATTTCAATCTGTTTTCAGGCTGGGCTGTGGGATGGCATACACAGGTATTTTTCTGGGCCATCTCTGGGATAGGAATTCGAGGCACTGTTTTATACTGACTTTGGTCCTTCCTGGAGGGGAGAACCCAGAAGGTAGTGCTGGGGGACTCCCGTTTGATGCCCTGGCCAAAACTTGAGCATCCATCTCAGTACTGTCGTGTCGCATTCCCCAGGATTTTGTTTTATCCCTCACACTTTTTAACATCTACATGAAATTATCTGGAATTGTGGGGTTTGTGACTCTGGTCCTTCCTGGACGGGAGAACCCAGAAGGTAGTGCTGGGGGACTCCCGTTTGATGCCCTGGCCAAAACTTGAGCATCCATCTCAGTACTGTCGTGTCGCATTCCCCAGGATTTTGTTTTATCCCTCACACTTTTTAACATCTACATGAAATTATCTGGAATTGTGGGGTTTGGTGTCACCAGTATGCTGATGACACCCAACTCTATCTCTCCTTTCCATCCAATTCCAAGAAAGCTATCTTTGTTCTAACCAGTGCCTGGTATCAGTTAATGCAGTGGTTCTTAATCTTTTTTAAAGAAACGCCCCCTTGAGCCATTGAAGAAGTTATCATTGCCCCCCTCCCCACGGTGGCAGTGCGGCGATGGCAGCGCAGGGGGGAGCAATGATAACTTCCTCAATGGCGTGGTGGTGGCAGCGCAGTGGCTCCGTTGCCCCATCACCCCACTCTTGTTCCTTTGCCCCCATGTTGCTCCTTTTAGTTCCATCGCCTCCCAGAAAAATTAAATCACCCCCTGGGGGGCGATATTGTCCAGGTAAAGAACCAGTGAGTTCATGGACAGGATGACAGCAAACAAACTGAAACTTAATCCATACAAGACAGAGGTGTACCTGGACAATTGGAAGACAGGTGAGGGAATAGGGATACAACCTGTGCTGGATGGGGGTTACAATCCTCCTGAAAACTCAGGTTCGCAGTTTAGGTGTACTAGTGGATTCTTCCTGAGATGGATGCTCAAGTTTTGGTGGTGGCCAGGAATGCTTTTGCACAGTTAAAACTGAAACACAGTGGGCACACAAGAGAGGGTCTTTTCTATGCTGCTCCCAGATTATGGAATACTTTCCCTTTGGAATTCAGGTTGCCCCCCTCCCTTTTATCCTTTTGCCAACAGCGGAAGACCCATCTTTTCAGGCAGGTTTTCAGAAATCATGATCTGAGCCCCTGAAAGCCATTTTTAGTTAAGACAGTTTTTAATGTTTTGTCTGTTTTTAATTATTCAATAGTATTTTAATCAGTTTTATGGTTAATTGCTTTTTTATAATTTTTTCCGGTGTTTTAAATTACATTCTTTTTAATACTGTGAGTCACCTTTGGTCCCCCTATTGGAGGAAAAGTGACCAATAAATAAATGAGATTGAAGAAGTAGTTTTACCAGTTTACCACCACCCCCACTGAGTTTCCATGGCCTAATGGAAGTTTGAACCCAGGACTCCTGAGTCTTGGTCTGACATTGTTTCTGCTCTGTTATACCAGTTCTCACAAATTAACAAAAACAATAACAATGAATCCTTGCATAAAGAAAAATGTTTATGCAATAACTAATAAGACAGAGCTAAACGTAAAGGTCATGGCTTTCTTTATGGATCATTAATCCATAGAGTTGTCACAAGCTGGAGACAACTTAATAGCGGCAGTAACAAAACTAAGGATAGTGAATAAAGCTTGAACGTAGATCTGAATATAATGTATACAGATGCATATAGACCTCTATTTCAGAAGGGAAAAATTAAGCTGAAGCTCTTGGTTGGCAGCAGTATCTTTTGAGAAATGGCAGCTTTCATCCTAGCCCTCATCTGGGTCTCCTTGCCTATCAATTGGGGAAGTAACAACTGCTAGTCTTCTTTCAAGCCTATATACTCAGAGCTACTATTGCTCAATCTCTCCACCAAGTATCCTTCCAGCACTGTCAACATGTCAGAAAAATCAGGTGGAAATGCTCAGATTAGTTGTTTTCCACTGACACCCAGTGGAAAGAGTTCTGCTTTTAAGACATGGGGAATGTGCTGTAAAATGCTAAACTGTATTGCCTCCTATGAACTGTTCCTAATTAGTTTTTCTTTCTTTTCATGCCCAGAAGAGACTTTTATAAGCCAGGCCCACTCTACCTTTAGGCAACGATTGTCAGGCCCTTGGCCTCTTGAAGCCCTAAAATTTGAAATGTGTGCAGGGCATCCCAAGATTTGGAAAACTTGCAACATGAGCTTGAAATGTTTCATCGCTTTCCGGCAAGAAGAAGGATTGCCTTCAACTTGGCCACTTCCAGCCAACCAGATCCAAAGATTCATTTTGTCCATGGATGTACAGGGATTGCCTCCATCTGTCATACAAATGTACGTTGCAGCCCTTTCTTCCATGTCTCGTCTGCTTGATTTCCCAGATCCTCTCCAGGACTTCTCCACTTGGTGCATGATGGAAAACTTGCAGCAGCAAACAGGACTTCCTACTCCCCTAACCATGGAAGTACTTGGAGGCTTAGTGGGCTCACTTGAAGAAGTCTGCAGTAACCTCTATGAATGCCTTCTATTTCGAGCTGCATTTGTCCTGTCTTTCTTTTTGGCTTTGCAGCCAGAGGAGGTAGCTGTGGAAAGCTGTGCTTCTCCACACCCAGACCTCTTGTACATGAGTGACTGTGAGATCCAGCAGGACAGTATTGGCCTTCGCCTGTGCACATCAGAGACTGGCCTGGAACGATCCATGTATCGTTTTGCACGCTCACCTGGTGATCAGCTGTGTCCTGTTGCTATCCTCCACAGTTACTTGGCAGTAAGGCCACATGGGGAAGGACCCTTATTCATGTACATTGATGAGCATCCACTGCCAAGGGAACACTTTTTGATCATCTTTTATTCTGCTCTGAGGAGACTTGGTCTCCCATGGGAGCAGTACAATATGCACTCCTTCTGGTTTGGTTCCATCGTGACTGTAGTGAAACATCGGTGCCCTGGCACAATAATTCGTCATTTAACAAGATGGCAACGTAGGGGCATTCGACGACGACAAGATGGCCAACGCTGAACACCTGCTGAAAGAAACCATATTGATAGTTCAGTGTCTTGCATGACAACTTAACAGGCTTACCCGTTTTTAAACTGCATTTGTTTTGGAAAAGCATAGTTTCTGATGCTTGCATCTTGGAGTTCATAGATTAGTCTATCATTTGAAACAGTATTGATTACAATAAACAATCTATAAAACATAGCTTGGAATATAATCTGGATCTGTTCAGGCCTGAACAAAATGTATGGATTTCTGCTTCCAAACTGAAACTGTATTGGTAAAAACAGAGTGCAATCGTATGCTTGGCTATTCAGAAGTAAACCTTACTGAGCTGAATGTGGCTTACACCCTGGTCTTTCAGTATAAGATTGCACTCTCAGTCTTTCACTAAATGAAAAGGGTAGTTGTGTTTTAGTTTGTTGTCTGGAAAGGGGAAACAGTTGTATTCTGGTGTTTTGCTGTTAAATGAGGCTATAAATGCAAGACTTGGTAAGTGGGTCATGTGCCTGATGAAGACTATGAAGATGGAGCTGCAAATCTTTGCTCACCTCTGAAGCTCATGGAGTAATTTCTTTCAGCCATGCCTATCTCAGAGGGTTGCTGTGAGGTAAAGGGTTGGGGGAGAAAGCCCCATACACAACTGAGATATCAGTAAAGGGAATTGTTTCTAAACATTATTTGTACTTACCAAGTTTCTGCTTTTTAAATGTCATTTTTGCAACTTAACTCATTTTGAGGTCCATGATTGAATAATACCAATTTGGTGAAATAAGTAATATATTCTGGTGGTGGCAATGCAGTTTGGTTTTTTGAGTAAGATAAAATTCTGTTTGGGGGATGCTTTTTTAAAAATACATTGTTGGTACTACACTGTATCACTTTAATCCTTCAAGTGTTACCTCACTGATGTTTGATACTGGGAACATTATGTCTAGTGCAATATTAGAAATACTGGGTTTACTAAGTGCAATATTGGGAACATTATGTCCATTTAGGTATCACTTAACTCTACAGTTATCGCACAACTATGCAATATTGGGAAATGTGTGTGCTATGTTTATGATGTTTATATTTGGTTTTGTTACTATCAAAACCAAATATTTTGTATATTTTGGGTTCGATGATGTAGGTATGTTTGATTTTTGTAAATTGCTCAGAGTAGTGGCTTGCCATGAGATGGGTGATATATAAATGCAAAAAACAAAGTGCAATATTTGGAATATTATGTATAATTTTGGGTTAGGTGTTATGAGTATGTATTTGAGTAGTGGCTTGCTGCTAGATGGGTAACATAAATACAAACAAATGAAGTGCAATATTTGAAACATTTAGGTTTTAATTCTATAGTTATCACACAGCTACTGTATGCTGTACTGGGAATATTAATTTTTATTAAGCCTAAAATGTTTGTTTTCCTTGATTTTTTTCTACAAATAAACTGCACACTACTTTAAAAAAATTTAGAAAAGGATAATCTATATACTGTGATTTTAAAAAGTTACGGGACTTTTAGTCCAAATAAGATTTGAATGCAGTTATATCATTTAACCCTCAATTATGTGTTTTTTTTTTAAAACATCCCATAGATTTATGAATGATTTGTGAGCTGTCAAGCCTCTGCACTTAGAAAAGCATTTTGGCACTAAGTTTTCAAACTATGCCTTAGATGGACATTGCACTCAGACACTGACAGGTCAGTGTTTTTGCATTTGTGGAGGTCAAGTAGTAGATCGGTTGCCTGTTATTAAACCCGTAACAGATATTGTAGCAAGTTTTGCATGGTTGCCCCAAAACTGAGAGGACTTAAAAAATTAATTGTATTTTTAATTTGTTTGCACTTTGTTTTTAATCCTAGTATAGTTAACACTACACATGTGTACATACTGTATTTCTGTTTCTACTTCTGTTTTAATTTTAAAGGTTGTTGTGGTTTAATTACCAAGTGGTTAAATAAACTATAAAGATACTACTGTTTGTTACATTTTACTGTATTAATGACGTAAAGGAAAATGTCTTGTGGACGTGAGTTTCTATAAAATATCTCTGGCCTTCTGAGTAATCCATTCTTCTTTGCGATTTCAGGTAATGCATTTCTTGTAATTAGAGTTTTTCCCTGTAGGTACATGGATTCAGCTTTTGCCACAGTAAACTTGCATAAATAAGTCTAGCCTGGAAATAACCTACAGATAAACTGCATTGTCAAAGTTAAGACAAAATTACCTGAGGAACTCATCTAAGAACAACTTGAGGAAGAGCAATACTATTTGTTTTCACTCATCTTTTTTGTTGTTGTTTTGACCTGTCTTGAAAAAGTATGCAATATTTAATCAAAGCCTGTGAATACAATTATAGTTGTAGTCTTATAATGGTGAGCTTAACAGAGCACATAGAAATCCACATTAAAGGAGTTGTGCTTCTGCCATTATCCATATATCTGATATTTATTTTTAATGAACTCAAGGCTGTGTACAAAGCTCCCATCCTCAGTTTATCTTCACTTAAGCCCAAGCTCACCTAGTGCATTTCAGGGCCAAGTGGGTTTAAATTCAGATTTCCTGAGCCCCAGTTCTGCACTCAGATCCCTAGACAATCATGTACATATCTCTACTTTTAGGCATGCACATGTTATAAACGTTTGAGGATAGGGACCTTCTGAAGCTAAGAGTTCTGCAGCTGGGGATGAGATAAATGAGAGACATAAACTATTTTTATCTCCATCAGTCACTCCTTTTGAGGCTGGTAGATACATTTGGGAAGTTTGTGCTTCGTCACAAATGTTTGCCATAGGTAGTCTGGCTAATTACAAAAGTGTGTACGTTACTACTTTGGACTATATTTCCAGAATTCTGTAGCTAGGGATAGTCTGTGTTTGCTTGATTGTAAGATTCTGGGAGCTATAATCCAAGAAACAGCTATAGTTACATTTCTAGTCATATATAGGTGTTTTGCAAAAAAGGCAAATTGGCGAAGCTAAAAGACAACAAAGGACTGATTTCTCACAAAAATAAGGCAGTTTATTTTCCTAAAACATGAAAAGTTAATTTATTACAGGGAGTTGTTAGCTAGGCACTTCACCTTGTAGCAATCTATGGTGACATTATAAAATTGTAACTTTTTTTTTAATTGGGCAGGTTGAAGAAGGTGGGGCTTGTGCCAAAAACCTGTTTGGCCGATAGAGGAATGGCTGAATTGGTGGTTCATACCCATCTCTACTAAGTAATCTTTATGGCACTAGCAATTTGCGGGTTGAACAACAGGGATAGTGTTAATAGAAATCAGCATAGGCTCATTTGAATTAATTGAATTTATAGAGGAGTTGAGTCACCAAATTCAGTGGGCCTGTTCTATTGCGATTTACTATGATAAGCAACAAGATTTACAATGATAAGCAATAAGACTGGACAACCTGTAAAACTTACAGCTCACTTGCCCGTCTAGCAGACATTACAGCCAACAGACCATTTTCAGTATCAGCAAGGAAAGACCTGCCTTAACTAGTGACTGAAAAGATTATCTCATGATCTGGGAAAGGAAAACAGAATAGATTGGCACAGATGGAGATCCCAGAGGATATATGTTGCAATGTATTGCATTCTTCTGAGAATTAGTAATTGATTTCCTAGAAACCTCACAAGAAATAAAGGATGTAAGGAATATTGTAATGCAGTGGTCCCCGACCTTGGGCCTCCAGATGTTCTTGGACTATAACTCCCAGAAGCCTTCAGCACCACCTCTGCTGGCCAGGATTTCTGGGAGTTGAAGTCCAAGAACATCTGGAGGCCCAAGGTTGAGGACCACTGTTGTAATGTACAAGGTGTCCAATATGGATGCCCCCCTGGCCTTAAAAGACATTTGAATTGGAGTGTAAGTCTTATAAACGTGATGTATGCAAGAAACAGAGTTGTGAACCAAAGCTGGTTTGGCTACCACAGAGCGATGATTTGCACTGGCAGCATCCTTCCTGATTTTTACTATCACATGTGATGAATGGAAAAAATGGGAGGAGATAAAAAGGATGACTTGGCCTCATCCAGAGAAATGCATTTCCCACAGAGTAAGAACTCCATACTCTGGTGAAAAACTGGGGACACTTTGTATTTGTCCCTGAAATTAACTGGGCTGCCCCATCATTTTCAAGAGATGAAAAACTGCTGTGGAAGATTTCAATCCATGAAGTTCTGTGCTATAGTGATTCAGGGCATCTGCTGCTTGGGCTGATTCTCACATCAGATTAATTGCCTCTTGGAGGTTATGTTTTGAAATCCACTATTCCTACAGGTGTGTAGTTAATCAAAGCACCATCAGAGAATTCATGCCACCCTATTTGCTAATGTAGTATGTGTTGATCTTTTGATAAAAGCTTTGGATTTCCCAGAGATCTTTGCATATAGCCAGTAATTCAAGGACACTGATGCAAAGCAAGTGCTCTCCCACAGACATATACTTAATGTTTACAGCAGTGTGTTCCCTGACCCATCAGGGATGCTGTCATTCCTGCTATTGGGTGAGTATCTTGTCCCATGCAATGATTGTTGAATGATATCCATCATAGGAGATCGAAACAACTATGAAGGGAAAAAATGCAAAGTAAGACCAACATAAATGGAAAAGAGGAATGTTCTAAGGAAAAAATAGTAGAGAATACATGTATTCAGCAACCCATTAAGGACCATGCAAAAGGTCTAATCCAAGTTGCTGGTGCAGTGAACAAATAAAAGGAACAGGTAAATCCATTAGGGTGCACCTAGTCATGTTAACTAGAGAGAGAGAGAGAGACAGTTCCTCTAAAAAGTGCTGTTCAGATCTATATGGTTGCAAATGGGCCTCTGTGGTTGTGCACAATGGGCACCTTTCCAGACTACCATGGCAACTGCTGTGGGTAGCACTCTTGTGAGTGTAAACACTACAAGATATTTGCCTGTATTTTTGTGCTACTTTTACATGGACAGTGATTACAAAGCAGCTCCCATAAATAAATACAGAATTGGGGGGGGGGACTCTGTGATCCTTTTAAAAAACAAAAAAGGACAAGAAACATAAGGGGTGGTTAAGGAGGAGAAAATTGATATTTATTGTAAGTTTCTCACATTCTCCCTCTTACTTCAAATTCCATTAATCTTATTTCTTTGGGAAATGAATGTAGCTGGAAGGTAAACTGAAGGAGAATGTGAAAACTTGAATGGATTCTTGCTTCTATTAGCTGGCTGACAAAGAAGAAATGTGAACATCAAGAGTTTGAACGAATGGTTTTGTCACATTATCTCTTCGTCTTGCCACTCAGCAGGTAATTCTCAGGTTACCAGGTATACGGAGGCCCTGACAGATGGAAAGAACGGAGAGTGAATGACCAACAGTTGGCATACTGAAAGAGGATGGGCCAGAGCGACTAAAGTCAGGGAAGGAGTGGCTGAGTCCAGCACTTCCTTCTTTCTCTTGGTGTCTTTCATCCTGGTTGTTGGAAGGATGAACATTTCCATCTAAAGAAGGGTTGTATTTTCTCCTTGACACTCAAAAGAATGCACTGTTCTGCTATGAAGACCATCTGGGCCTTCAGTATCTGTTATCTCTCATTTTTCATGGCTGGAACACTTCATGGTAAGAAATTTCTCAGCAGAATATATATTAAAAGTATGAGTTGCAGTTAGCATAGTGCAAATCAGTCTCATATGGGGTCTGCATTGAATTATATGTCTACAGTTTAATCTTCATTGTTTTCTTTCAAGAGCAATGTGAATTGCCATTTTAGGATGCACTAAGAAATGTAAGAGAGCCGATATGGTATAGTGTCAGTCGGAGTCGGACTCAGGAGACCTGCGTTCAAATTCCCACTTGGCTATGGAACTTCACATCAATGGCAAACTACTCCTCTGAACATTTCACATACAGTATCTTGAAAACTGTTGGGGTCACTTTAAGTTGAAAGTGGCTTGATGTGACATAGCTATCTCAAGATTTCTGTACTGGAAATTCCAGGCCCATTATAGAATTACAGATCTCAGGATTATTTGGCTAGTATCCTAAGAATGAAAAGGGTTTGAAATCAGTTTGACATTAAAAAAATCTCCTTTGATTTATTATCCTAAAATACTTCATATAATCTTTATAAATATATTAGCAGACAAACACATGAACTGATTAAAGCATTTGGAATTGTGTGTTAGAAAACATTTATATATACTGTGTGTGTGTATATATATATATATAAAATGTTTTCTAACACACAATTCCAAATGCTTTAATCAGTTCATGTGTTTGCTAATTACAGAATATTGCCACTGGAAATGTACAGAGGGTGTTGATCAGGGAAAGGCTGTAAATTTTTGAAATCTGCCTAAGAGAAAAAAATGAATCAAGGCTAACAACAAATATTGATTTTAATCATATGGTCATAACTAAGGGCAATAATATCTTCATCGTTACAGGTGTAGGTACAAGTAATTTAACAATGCCTAGATAACTGTACCATCAGTAGTTAATGGAGCATCACTGTGCTCATATAAATAATAATTACATCCCGTAAAGTTAATTCTGAATTATGGCAACATTTTCCAAGTAGTTTACCATTTCCTTCTTTTGAGGGAACCCTTGGACTGTGGAACTTGCCAAAGGCTACATAGGCTGGCTGCTCTGGGGCACACAGTGGGGAATTGAAGGCAGGCAGAAACCTACGTATCTTCCTGAACTATTAATTACATTTTCATATCTGTACTTAGTGAGTGCAATTGCCATTTGATTTCACTGTAGCATTTTGTTCTCTACATATATTTGTATATACCTTCTTGCCTATTGAGGCTAACGTTTTCTGACTCCGATTAAGTGGAGTTTAGCCCGTGAAACTTTATGACATAAAAATGTTAAATCTCATGCTCTTCCAGCTAGCATCCATACCCACTGAAATCAATATATACATTACAGTATATTGATTTGTGACTAAGAAGTTTCATTTGTTGCAGTGAATATCTGCTAGTGGGATTAATACTGAATTTAAACTCTCAACCAGAAGGGAAGCTTCTTATCCTGGAAAATGGAAGGGCTTGGAGCTATTCCATCTCCTTAATGGTTTTACATGGTAAGAAAAAAGATGAAGGAAGCAGTAGAAAAACAAGCAATCGTTAAAAATGGAGAAACTTGCTATATGAAATCCCTGGAAAATTTTGTGAATGATCTTGTATGAAATAATTCAAACACAAATACCCCTCCAGAAATTAGATTCTGATCATGACTTAGGAATCCAATGAAGATGCAGTAAACACTTCTAAAGCACATAAACACTGAATAGGTTTATTCTATACAGGTGTTCATGCAGCACAAGGGAAATATGCCCAAATGCTTTTTAATGAACTCTTTGAAGATTATTCAAATGCTCTTAGACCAGTAGAAGATACAGACACCGTTCTGAATGTCACCCTTCAGATCACGCTTTTTCAAATAAAAGATATGGTAAGTATAACAAGCACCAAATGTTTATTAAATATAGCAAGGAATTAAATATACTAAATAGGTATAGTATGAAATCTAAAAGGGATGCTCAGAGGACTATCAAGGTCCACAAAGGTCTAAAGCTTCCACCAGCTTACTGGGACCCCTCTGTCGTCTTTCCTCTCTTTTCCTTCCCAGCACAGTTTAGCCTTACTGACACTCTTAATTCCATTGGCAAAGCTCTGTATTCATATTCCCCCTCTTGTTCAGAAAGAAGATTATTGTTACCTCTTCAAAGCACAAAAACAAGTGTGGGCAAGTTAGTTATTTATCTCTTAAATAACTAAAATATCAAAAGTAGACTAGCTTTTGAATCATACAGGACCATTCATTAGATTGTGTGTTTCACAATTTGGAGTAGGGGAGAAACAGAACATCCCAAAAAGATCATTGTGGCCAGGTGCTGAGCCAGGCTGTCTTCTTCAAAATAAGAGCAGGACTAGATGGGGGAAGCTAGAGCAATATGGTTTGCACTTAAGAGGCTCCTATTGTCTGTACGATCTCTTGGATCTTGTGCTTGAGTGATCCTTCCATTCTCCCATAAGAAGGATCCAGACAGCACTTTGGATCGCTCCCACTTTTTGATTAGTGATACTCCCTTCCCTACCTTTCGTCACTCTTGGGACATGATGGCCCCCCCTCTTTTGTTAATTTCCCTTCCAACTAGTCAGCGCTGCATCAGATACAACGCAAGTACCAAAGGGCACCTCCAGCATCATATTTGGATTGTGCTGTGTCTGTTGGGGAAATATATATATTTTTAAATCCGATAAGATGAAAATAGAGGAGGCAGTTTCTCCATTGTCACTTTTAATGTCACAACCCAGTGCATATCCCACAGGCTTGTCACCACAGGGAGCACCTCTATTTGGGAGCACATGATCCAACCCCACAGACTACAGAATGGGATAAGCAAGAGTCCTCTTTGTGGCACTCTTTTGCATTACTTTTTACTATGCTAAAAAGTTGGTGAAGAATGGCATGGATCATGAAAAAAATTATGTCAAACTTCTTCCAAAAATGCCTTTATAACTATCTCTTATAAAATGCTCTTTGAAAATAACCAGAAAGTGTTATACTGTATATGTTATATCAATGAAGTAACTTTATTCCTAATCACTGGTTAGAATCCTGTTGTTTAGTGTAAGCCAAACTGTAACTTTGTGTCCCTTCCTCTCTGGTAAGCAAAGAATCCCCATCGCAATTCTTGGGGCACACATGGATGCACTACGCCAGTGTGCATGCTCCCACAGAACTGTGCCAGGGATGGTTTATCTTCTGAATAGGATGAGATGGAAACCTAGAATTTGTTTTATGTTAAGCAACAAGATTCCTGCCACTATGTTGCTTTTGAAATTTGCTTTGTTAGCCAAGCAATAACCAGGAATGCCATTGCCAGCCTGTGCTGTGTGTAAACCATACTAACCCGTGATCTGAGCTGGTGGAGGGAAAATTCAGATCTTTGGAGACCTATTGTCATATATTTACAGGATGAGAAAAATCAAATTCTGACTGCCTACCTATGGATTCGACAAACTTGGTATGATGCCTACTTGAAGTGGGACAAAGATCAATATGACGGCTTGGATTCTATCCGGATCCCTAGCAATCTTGTATGGAGACCAGACATTGTACTTTATAACAAGTAAGTCTGGATGGAAAAGGTTAGTTACACAATGTGCAAGCAGAAAATTAGTTTGATTGGCCTATAAACAATCTTTGAAAACTCTAGCCCAAGACTACTGGGTTTTGATTAAAGGGTCAGTAGTGCTAATAGCTGTATTTTGCCCAAAAGCCATCACTGCATGTTCACTGAGATGGGGGAGAGAATTTGAGACACAGCTCTTCTCTTTCACCTCCAGGAAAGATCTAACATCAAGCACACGGAAAACAGTTGGAACATTATAGGTGAAAACAAATAAAAGTAAAATATTTTTAAATGTATTTATTAACCTGAACTTTCGTGGGCAAGTCCACTTCATCAGACATAAGAGACAGAGATATAACATAGCAAATATTTATACATGGCATCAAGGTTGTGGTTGACTCAGGGTGTGTTGAACATTGTGATGATGGTGTATTTGATATGCAGGTCTTAGTAGAAGCTTATGATGTAAGGAATGTGAGAACCTCTGTCATAGATTAACAAAGGGAAGATAACAATAGTAGATTAACAGTGATGTTAATAAGATAAGCTATTTACAATCATTTATGAACTTTTCCCCTACAAACTTCTTTTTGTAGTCAGTTGTAAAGTGTGTGAGCTTGTAGAGGAAAAGTTCATCAGTTACTATAAATAGCCTGATTAACATTCTTATTAGTCTACCATTGTTACCTTATCACTGTTATTTTACCATTGTTAATCTATGACAGCCTTGTTAGTCTACCATTGTTATCTTACCACTATTAATCTATGACAGAAATTCTCACATTCTTTACAACATACGCTTGTACTAAGACCTGCATATCAAAGACACCATCATCACAATGTTCAACACCCACTAATTTTCTCATCAACCAGCCCCAACCTTGATGCCATGTACAGTGGAGCCTCGCTTAACGATTGCTCAACCAACTCCAACCTTGATGCCATGTACAGTGGTGCCTCGCTTAACAATTGCCTCGCTTAACAAGGAAATTGCTTGACGATTAGGTTTTTGCGTTTGTAAAAGGATGGTTTAAATGGGAAAAATTCGCTTCATGATGATCGGTTCCCTGCCTTAGGAACTGATTTTCGCATTACGACGATCTAAAAACAGCTGATCGTTGGGTTTCAAAATGGTTGCCGGCTGTACAAAATGGTCCCCGCTGTTTTCTAGGATGGATTCCTCACTTTACAGGCACTGAAAATGGCTGCCCTATGGAGGATCTTCACTGGACAGTGAGTTTTCAGCCCATTGGAATGCACTGAAGGGTTTTCAATGCGTTTCAATGGGCTTTTTAAATTTCGCTTAACAAGGATTTCGTTCTACAGCGATTTTGCTGGAATGGATTATCCTCATTAAGCGATGCATCACTGTATAGATATCTGCCATGTTATATCCCTTCTTTTATGTCAGATGAAGTGGACTTGTCTGGGAAAGCTCAGGTTAAAAAACATATAAAAGTTAGTCTTTAAGGTGCCACCACTTTTTTAACTGTTTATTTGTTTTCACCTATAATGCTTGCACAGATTAACACAGCTACCCTTTTACAACTATTAGGTGGAACATTGTTCCACATTAATTAAGATCAATTTATCCTAAGAACCTCCAGAGGAAGATCTGTATGTAACAAAAGACTCAAAGTGCAGAGAGCTGTGTCATATGAAGAATTTAAACAGTAAAAACTAAATCAGTAGCATCCAAGAAACATTTGAAGATGAGGAACAAACATCCATTCAGTAGAACTTTCTCTAAAATAATAGCTCAAAACGAAACATTAAATATGTGCGGAACTTCCAAAAAGATCTATTCTTTTTAAATAGGAAATGTGAAAGTGTAAGTAGCTGTATAAGTACACAGAGAAATCAAAACATGCAGAATAGTAACACTGTAAATCTATTAGGAAGCAAATGTAACAAAGTTGATAGTAAGCTTTTCTGTTCTCCAGCATTCTTTGTTAGCAGGGCCTGCTCTACCATTAGGCAGAGTGAATCAGCAACCTTAGGAAGAAGGGCAAGGGGAGAAAGTATTGGAAGACAGAGCTCCCTGTTCCCCATGATTTGCCAACAGTTACCTAAGTTAGCTCTTTATCTTCAAATCTGAGTTTGAGAGAGTTATTTTTTGAAACTACAACTTCCAGCATCCGTCAACCTGCTCAGCAAGTGGCTGTGCTCTGGGTGGATTCCAGGAATGCTATCTTTCCAAAGCCCTGCCTCAGATATAGTAGAGGATGCTGGCCCTTCATTAGGGGTGGGGGAAAAATCAACTGGCAACCCTCCAGGCTTTTGGCTATGGAATGGAAAGAGGCACCATCTTGTCCTTTGCCTCAGGTAGCAAAATATATTGACCAGCTCCTCCTGCTCATCAGGCAAGATGTTTGACATAACAAAAGCCAAATAAAAGCCTGGGTCTATTCAGATTAAATGCAGTTGGATTTATGCAAAGCCTAACTGTAGCCTAAGTAGGATTGCAAGATGCACCCAGGGCTGAGGGCCAAAGATGATGAATATTTCCGAGTTTTTAAAAATATTTTTATTTATTTTTATTTAAAATATTTTTATCCTGCCTTTCTCCTTAAAAAGGACTGAAGTGACTTACATCATCTAATCGACAATATTTAAGAGCTAAGAACAGTAAGTTTAGAAATACTATAAAGAATCAAACAAGTATTATATTAAAAGCTATAAATATAAAATGTAGTAGTTACTCCTCTTTGCAGCTCCAGGAGAGAATTTTTTAAAAAGTTTAATTACCAGAGAATATCTGGGACTTCACAGAATCATAGAATAGTGAAGTTAGAAGGGGCCTATAAGGCCATCAAGTCCAACCTCCTGATCAATGCAAGAATACAAATCCAAGGATATCTGCCAGGTGGTTGTCTAAGTTTATCTTGAATGCCTCCAGTGTTGGGTCACTCACCACTCTCAAGGTAATTGGTTCCATTGCTGTACTGTTCAAACAGTTAGTAAGTTTTCCCTGATACAGTCGTGCCTCGCTAGACAGTTACCCCACATGTCAGTTTTTTCACTAGACATTGACTTTTTGCGATCGCTATAACGATTCGCAAAACAGTGATTCCTATGGGGGAATTCCACTGGACAATGTTTGGTCCCTGCTTCGCAAACCAATTTTTGCTAGATGATGATTTGCTTTTTGCTAGACAATGATTTCGCTAGACAGTGATTTCAGTGGAACGGATTATCATAGTCTAGCGAGGCACCACTGTATTTAATCAAAATCTGACTTCCTGTAGCTTAAGCCCATTGTTGCGTGTTCTGCACTCTGGGATGATCAAGAGCAGGTCCTGCCCCTCCTTTGTATGATAGCCTTTCAAGTATTTGAAAAGTGCTATCATATCACCTCTCTGTCTTCTTTTCTCAAGGCTAAACATGCCCAGTTCTTTCAGCCTTTCCTTATAAGGCTTGGTTTCCAGCCCCCTGATCATCCTTGTTGCCCTCCTCTGAACTTGTTCCAATATGTCAGTATCCTTCTTGAAGTATGGTGTCCAGAACCAGACAAAATACTCAAGGTGAGGCCTAACCTGTCCTGAATAGACAGGAACTAGCACCTCATGGGATTTGCAAACTTGCTCTTCTTTAGGGGATGAACAGAGTAGTTCATTCCTTTGAGCCCTGCTCCTCTTTAAAATAGGAATCCACCTCAACACAACTTCCCAATCTATCAAACACCAAGGCAAGGCAGGTATGGGTGGCTTGTGGCTCTCCAGAGGTTGCTTGACTGCCATTCCCATCATCCATCAACTAAACAGGGTTGGTGGGAGTTGTAGTGCAATAACATCTGGCTGGCCACCCATTTTGCAATTTTATGGTAAGGCATTTGTAATGTGAATTAGCCGCTTTGGGTTTTACATTATATACAGTACTCTCTTCCAGCAGCAGCCACTTCAGTGCTCCTGCACCAGAGAATGCCCTTAGTTGTCATGTTCCTCCAACTCATCATTTTCTGTGGGTTTATTTTTTAGGGCAGATGATGATTTTTCTGAGCCAGTGAACACTAACATTGTATTGAGGTACGATGGGAAGATTACTTGGGATGCACCAGCTATAACAAAAAGCTCATGTGTGGTGGATGTATCTTACTTCCCCTTTGACAGCCAGCAGTGCAACCTTACTTTTGGTTCTTGGACCTACAATGGGAATCAGGTAGATATATTCAATTCTTTAGACAGCGGTGACCTCTCTGACTTTGTAGAAGACGTGGAGTGGGAGATGCATGGCATGCCAGCTGTCAAGAACGTGATCACCTACGGCTGTTGCTCAGAGCCTTATCCAGATGTTACATTCACCCTTATTTTGAAACGGAAGTCCTCTTTCTATATATTTAACCTTCTGCTTCCTTGTCTATTGATATCTTTTCTGGCTCCACTGGGATTCTACCTTCCGGCAGACTCTGGGGAAAAAGTGTCTCTGGGAGTTACTGTTCTGCTGGCTCTGACTGTGTTTCAGCTTATGGTTGCAGAGAGCATGCCGCCTTCTGAAAACGTGCCCTTGATAGGTAAGTACAGCCACGGTTATATGCTCTCCAGACACAACAGTTGCAAGACTAAACAGTATATGTTTCCTGACAAGGCTAAGAAAATATACAAACCAGTCCCTGGAATGACTGGTGATTTCAGAGCTTGGAAAAACTTCCTTTAAAAAAAAACCTACCCTTTCCATCCAACATGGTCACTTATACAGCCACTCTGGCTTGGGAATTTGGGGAGTTGTAATGAAAAGAAAAATACTGACAAATGATATAGGCTATACCAATGGTTCCCAACTTTTGGTCTCCAGGTGTCCTTGGACTAAATCTCCCAGAAGCCTTAATCACTAGCTGTGCTGGCCAGGATTTCTGGGAGTTGTAGTCCAAGAATGACCAGGGACCCAAGGTTGGGAAGCACTGAGCTATGCCCAGGGAACCAAGGTTGGGAAGCACTGAGCTATAGCATTGGAAATCCATGTGGTTTCCCCCTGTAGATGTTGTTTCAATTCACTGTCAGCTTCTTTAACCATTGGAAATCCATGTGGTTTCCCCTTATAGATGTTGTTGTTTCAATTCACTGTCAGCTTCTTTAGATATCTGTGTGCTGACAAAATTTTCAGTAATGGTCAATACACAATGGATTTCTAGTTCTGATTGTGGCAGTTGAGTTCATTGCCAGATGTGCAAACTCTGAAGTATCCATGCAAATTCCAACCATCCCTATCTGCTCTATGATGTCATCCTGCTTACATATGTTGCGACGAAATGTTTCTTTGGGGATAAAGGTGATTGTTCCTGTTCTTAAGTTATTTTTTTCCCATCATAGGTAAATATTACATTGCCACTATGACAATGATCACAGCATCCACAGCACTGACAATCATTATAATGAATATCCATTACTGTGGCTCAGGAGCCAAACCTGTCCCACACTGGGCAAGGGTGGTCATTTTGGACTATATGTCCAAGATCTTCTTTGTTTACGATGTCGGTGAAAATTGCACAAGTTCTCAAAGCATGAAAGAGCAAGACTCAAGTCTGAAAAAAATCAATACATGTACAAAAGGCAACAAGTACGAAGGGGCTCAGAGATCCCTTGCTCAGATCCGAAAGAGCAACAGTGGCCGGAACAAGGTGCCTCCTGAAGATGTGAGCAACAATTATGGGATCAGGGATGAAAGCTGTTGTTCTTGCTACCGGATACTGATTAAAAATATTGAATATATTGCTAATTGTGTGAGACGCCATAAAGCCAACCATGCAAAAGGAGTGGAGTGGAAAAAAGTAGCCAAAGTGATGGACAGATTCTTCATGTGGATTTTTTTTATTATGGTCTTTTTCATGAGCATTTTAGTTATTGGCAAAGCTCTTTAAGGAACAGGATATGCCAGGGCTCTGACTGGATTAAATATGTTCTGTAAGCACTTCTGTAGTGTTTTATTAGAACCCTTAGTACAAGAATGAAAGCAGATGACTTTTTTTTTTAGTCCAATCTTTCTAATGCATGTTTATTTTCTTCTCAATAAATTACTCGTTGATTAAAGTAGTGTTGTCTTCAATCTCCAAATCACCTTAACCTGTGAGGTGCCAGGTTTTGGAATGTTCAGAGCTCAATGGTTGAAAAATTTCTTTTTAAGATTCCAAGGCTCCGTGTTTGGAGGTATCGTACCTATGCAGAGTGTGTCCGTCCGTCCGTGCGTCCGTCATCCATTCAGGTAGATAGATAGATAGATAGATAGATAGATAGATAGATAGATAGCTCTTTTCAAGATTCCAAGGCTCTGTGTTTGGAAGTATCATATCTATGCAGAGTGTGGCATTTCTTCCTTCCATCCATCCATCCAGATAGACAGACAGACAGTTTAGATGTCGGATGGATGTGTGGATGGGTGGATGTGTGGATGGATGGATGTTTAGGTGCCCTGCATCAGGACTGGGGGAACAGGGGGAAATTATTTCCTACTCTCCCCCAAGCATCAAAATTTCTTGGGCCAGGTCTTTCCGAAGGCTCTCATATATCCATGCCAAAAGGATGGGATTCATTATTCATGCTCTGTTAAACTATGTAGATTTGTCCTTCTCTTTCTCCTGTTCTCCCCACTTCACTTCACTCTCCCCAATGTTCTTTAGATTTTGTTTCTCCATTCACTTTTCCTCCCCCCACTCCTTATTATAATAGCATATATGTAGCCCAGCTTCCATAGGGAAGTGATCTACCAGCATTTAAAATTAACTTTAATGAAACTGTATAAGTTTCACATTTGCTATGAAATCTCTAATGTGTGCCTTATCTGTTTTGCATGCAGTATGAGGTCCTTCTGTTATGTGTAATGTGCCTGGATAAAATTTGCAAATTAGCAGAGCTTGGAGAAGTTACTTTGTTGGACTGGAATTCCCAGAGCCCACCAGCCAGAAAGTAGTTTTTTTTTTAAAAAAGTGGAATTGTCTAGCTTTGGAACCTTGGTTATAGAAGGACATTCACTTGTTCTAAGCCTCAGGGTAGCATATGACAAAAGTACAGATGGAACCAACATTAGGAATAGATCCAGTGAAATAAACCTTTGATCCAAATAAATTACCTGTTGTACTTTTGGAAATTCTAACATTCTAAATGCAGGGTGGCAGTGAAAAACACAATAGTCAAAAGGTCATGTGATAAAACCAATTGCCCTAATGGGAAACACTCTAGTAAAACTTCAGTTTAAGATGTAATGAACTCTAACCTGCAGCAAAGTATGTAAGTGTTCCTTATCTATAACCCCCACAAAATTCATTGTGGAAGAAGATCTAGATCAGTCATGGCAAACCTATGGCATGCGTGCCACACAGAGCCCTTTTTGCGGGCATGCGAACCATAAGTCACCGGATTGCTGCTCCCCCCCTGCAGCCAAACCTCAGGAGGAGGCTGCAGCTGTGGTGCTGGCACTTCGACAGGCAGCGGGCCAGGATCTGGAGCAGCTGGCGCTGAGAGCAGACCCAGAGTAGGGTGTCAAGGCACATCTGTGCCCAGGATTCCCCCTTCTGCTGCCACTTCCGGTTCCACCACCGCACAACACTGTTTTTTTTCCCCTTCATTTTTTTCAATTTGGGCACTCAGGCCCAAAAAGGTTTGCCGCCACTGATCTAGATGATAATATAAATGATGCATAGAATTCTTAATGGCAGGTTTTGGCTTTAGTACAAAGGTGTAACTGTATCAGGACTCTCATGCATAATACACGTTTCAAAGGCCAGGTCTAATGTTAAAGTTACTATACAGTTAAGGGCCACATTGAGTGCAAACTGATCAATTACAAGTGGCTGGAAAAAGTCCCCACTCACACTTGCAAAGGAATATAACCCTTTCAGCAGTTTGAATGGTGCAAGCTATTAGGTGTAGAAATGCAAGACTTTTTGATCATTTTAAAGATAAATAGTTTGGATTATACTATACCCTATTCTATGTTAATCAATATGGGGAAATGGCCCTCCCTTGACTCTGTGTATCACTTAGGTTAATCAGTACCTCCCTCCTCATCACAAACAAGTCTACACAAGTGAAACCATACCCTTGAAAACATCAAGAATTCTTCCTTAGATCTGAGGCTACAGTTAATACAAGAAACAAACATCCTGGGCCCACATTGGACTTTAGACCAATGGTTCCCAACGTTGGGTAACCCAGTTGCTCCTGGACTGAAACTCCTGAAAGCGTTCACCACTAGCTGTGCTGGCTGGGTTTTTTGGGAATAGCAGTCCAAGAACACCAGGATTACCAAAATTGGGAAACACTGCCCTAGACAAATTCAAGAAGCCATGTATACTAGAGTGCTACTGTGGAACCCGAGGCTCGGGTCAGGAAGCTATGATAGGAGTGCCGTCTCTCCCTAGAACATCTAAGGGGCCACAGATGCCTCCACTCCCTATTCCTCTTAGGTTGGTGCATCGAGGAGTCGATACCCAGGATTTAACCTGGGGCTTGAAAGGGTTACCGGTGGCCACCCAGACTTATCCTGAAAAGGCGGGAAAAGAAGAGATTGGGCGGTCTGTGGTGGAGGCAGGGGTGGGGGATATAAAGGGGAACCGGGACGACATCTCGGGTGGCTGGGAGATGATATGGTCGCAGGACCCGTGGACCAGGCTATGGGAGCAAGTTCGGGCTCCTAAGCAAGAGGCGGAGAGCCGAAGACGAAAAGGACTTCCCCAACGCCCGTCCTACTGGGGTGAGTCCGAAACCCGAGAGTGGCGACGCAAACTGAGGGAAGAGAAAGAGGCGGCTGAGCGGGAAAGGGAAGCCAAAAGAGCATGGCATCTGGAGGAGTCAAAGAGATTGGGTTGCTACCTGGACCTTGGGGGGGCCAACCCAGGAGAAGGATCGCCGCCTTGGGGTTGGTCGGGGGACGAAGAAGCCACCCCATTACTAATGCCAGATGTGGGAGAAAAGATGCCCCCAGAACCTGAGAGGGTTTTGGCAGATCCCTGGGAGCACAAATCTACAAACCTGTTTGAAATGGACATGTGGTTGCCCCTGTCTGAGCCGTTGCTCTCACAGGAGAAGTTTGTTCCAAGTTTACCTAATGTTTCAATCCAGTTATCTGAGTTAATAAACGAAGACCACACTTTTGATTTTAAAACATCTCCTGCTTTATTTGGGGAAAGGGAGGTCCCGCAAACTGGACCCTCACAGCTACACATGCTGGACAGGTTCTAAAAGTGGGACATATCTAACCACATGGTGTGATCCTATGTAACTGTTGCTGCCTTCTGGTAGGAGACAATGAAACGTATCAGCCTTGCACTGGATACAACATTGGATTTTTCTGCTTATAGTTTATGCTTGGGGTATTTGCCTGTGAAATCAGACATTAGAAAAGGACTTTGGATTCTACAGGCAGGCGAGCTACCTAGCATACTGTCTTACAAGGCTGTAAGTCCCTTGCCATGCCACACTTAGAAAAGAGAACTTTTTGGACTTGACCCTGAAAGAAAGGCGCATATATGGGGAGAAAGGGAAATGGAAGCTATATGAGCATATGGTCTAGATCAGGGGTGTCCAACCTTTCACCTTCCCTGGGCCACATTAGAAGATGAAAATTTGGTTTGGGCCGCACATAAATTTGGTTTGGGCCGCATGGGGGGGCAGCCCTAGCCATCCTCCACAGCCCCGCTCCAAGCGCGCTTACCAGCAGCTGCGATCTCAGACAGCAGAGGCTGCCAGCTTCAACTCCAGTGGCTTTATGGGGCCGAGAGGGGGTCCACCTATTGACGGGGACTGAGCAATGCAGTCACGCAGCCCCCCTGTCCCCTCCCCTCCCACTCCTTCCTTTCTTCCCTCTCTCCCTCCCTACCGTTGTGACGTGCCCCAGCCAAATTGCGGCCGCAAGCACCGGCAGTGTAACTTTGAAACTTTGGAATTTCTTGAACAATAAAAAATTGCACTGGGCCGCATTATGAGCCAACCTGGGCCGCATGCGGCCCTCGGGCCGCAGGTTGGACGAGCCTGGTCTAGATTCTTGGAACTACAGTGTTTGATTGTTAACCTAGATATGTGAAGGAAACCCTGGATGTTTGTAACATATACAATGGAAGCCTTTGGAAAGTGCTTGGAATCTTCATCAGATCCAGAATACTGTGTCCAGGCTGTTAACCAAAGGCAGTTATAGTTAAAACAGAAAATTCCTTGTTGCAGCAGCTTCACTGGCTTCTAGTTTGTTTCTAGGCACAGTTCTACGTGCTGGTGATGACTTAGAAAACCTATACAGCTTGGTTTCAGACTATTGGAAGGACTGCATCCCCACATATGATCCTGCCCATGTCTTGAGATATTTAAATTGTTATAAACTGTATAATAGAGTACATAAACTGATTAACAACTAAGTGCCATCAAGTCAATTCTGAATTACAGGGGGCCTTTTCAGGGTTCGTTTAGATATACTTAGATTACTCAGAAGTGGTTTACCCTTCTCTTCTTCTAGAGGAACCCTGGGACTGTACATTTTGCCCAAGGCTACACAGGCTGGCTCTTCTTCCAGGAGGCACAGTTGAGAATCAAACTCAAAACCTCTGGCACTGCTCACTGAGCTATCCAGTCAGCTAAACTATTTATTACTGTTTTAATACTGGAATTTACTTAGGTTTTTTTTTCTGGATGTGTTTTTAAATGTATGTTGTAAGGCGCTTTGGGTCCCACAAGAGAGAAAGACAGGATACAAACAATACAAAATAAAACAAAATAAGAAAAACATGAAAGCTATTATTCAGAAGTTGCTCTCTCTGTTATCTCTCTCCCAGGGTGTATTTGTATTTTTGGTATATCTCTTATTCATTTTTAGTACCAATGTCTACAGTACTTTACTACACAGAATCAAAAATAAAAACCGAAAAACTCTTTGATA